TCAATGATGAAGAGCAGAAATTCCATTTCGCCTGTTCGCCGAGCTTGGCATTTGGTTTACAGACGTTTCATCACCAGCCGAGGTGAGATCGTCAATACTTACGAAGTGGCCACATCAGTCAAAAGGATCTGTTGATCACTCATGGAAGCTGCCAATCTAAGGCCCGGAGTGATGGACCACACATTAAGCTCAACCAGGTTAGGCGTGGTATTTACCCGGACGGCAGTGAAGCTGTTGTTCTATAGCTCCAATCTTTGGAGTCTTTCGGGGTTTCTTCTTATACAGAAATTTTACCATTTTTGTTGCCAACTTTTGCAGACATTCTAGAGTCTTCTTGTCGCTGTTCAACCATGAATCCCATACTTGAACGATGTATTCCGTGTGTGGCCGAATGAACGCTGATAGCAAGCATGGGAACAACGCCATTTCAAACTGCCCGAAAGCACATTTAAATAGTTCAACTTGCATTGTAGTCATGGATGACGCCCTGGTACAGTGCGTGGAACATCCTACTTCCTCTTATAGAAATAGCTTTGCATTTTGGAACGTTAAATTCACTGTCATTGGCGACTGACTACCGTTGGGCTGCATTGATCGTTTCTCGGAGTGCCAAACAATACTCTGGATGTGTTACAGTTCTCTGGATCTTAGTGTCGTCCGCGAATAGTAGTGTATTTAGTTTAAGGACATGGTAGGTCGTTTATAAATGCAAGAAAAAGACGAGGTTGCAGCACGGATTCTTGCGGAAACCCTCAGACAGCGGTGATAGGTCCAGATAATGAATCACAAACAAGAAATTGATATGGTCGTTTGTCGGATAAACTACTCGATCCAGTCGAGAACCAAACCTCTTACTCCGTAGTTGTGGAATTTTCGAAGTAGAATTTGGTGGTTTACGTGATCAAATGCACTGGAGAAGTCCAAATAAACTGTGTCCAGTGGCTCAAATCAATTCAAGAAAAGGATTATGCACCCAAATGGTGAACTGTTAACAGTTTACGATTTTTACACTGGATAGATAAAACCAATTGCAAACAAAAAAGTCAATATAAGAAATTCTACACTTAATAAATGAGGGGAAAATTAGGGCAAGAGTTTTTCTCCCAGGTGGGTGAGAATATTCTGACGATTTTCGAGTAAACGAGCTAGATATGGAATTACACTGTTTCGATATGTGGAAGTCCGCGCAGGAAGCAGTTAATACTTGGAGTATGCTCGGGGATTTGACAGGGCTTTCGCGATATCTTAGTGCAGACGGTGCCCTTGATCAGGTGCTATCCTGTCAATGAATGTACCACAAGCGTCAAGATACTTGGAAATAAAGAAATCAACTAGAACAACTCTATCAACTTCACTGTAGCGGGACAAAAGTTTAAGGGACCTGGAAAATAAAGAGAAGTCTTTTTACTTCAGTCCAGGGATAAAATTCGGGGAGTAGTATAGCCAGTGTGGAAGAACGCAGGCATTCAGAAATTTAAGAATAAGATTATGTGGTACGGCCAATTTCCTGAGCCTGTAAGCACATAGAAAGACAGTTTTCAAACTTTTGTGAAAACGTTGATGATATAAGCAAACCAGGACAGGTTATGGGTAAGGGTGACACCAAGATATTTAACAGATACAGATTTTGGAATACTTTGATTGTTAACTCTAAGATCAGGGAGATTATTAACCAATGAAAGATAACCGGGACCGGTTTTAAGAATAAATGGAACTTCAGTGCACTTACTGATGTTAAGCACAAGGGATCGGGTCACAGACCAATCGTGAAATTCAATAAGACTGTCTTGGAGAGGTCGAAGACTGTCTGAAGTAGGGGCTGGGCAACCAATCACAATATCATCAGTATACTTACAAGCAATAAACTTGGTGGGAATGGGTAGATTTTTTATATACATAGAAAACAAGACAGGGGAAAAAATGGCACCCTGAAAAACACCGGCTTCAATGTTAATAGAAGAAGACTGTACACCACTGAGTGAAGTAAACTGGGTCCTACGGGAGAAGTAGGCGATTAGTACAGTCAAGACTTCAAGATTTAGACCACACTCAGAAAGACGCTCAATCAGCAGTCTTTGGTCGAGAGAACCAAAAAGCGTTTGTATAGTCAAGAAAAGTTAGACGAATGGTACCAGTGTTATTGTCTAAGACGAAAGTTACAGAATAAACAATATGAGCAACGGCGTCAAGTGTAAATAAATGGGATTTATAAGCGAATTGTAAAGGATCATGGGAGTTACGCTGGGGATATCATGAAATGTAGCACAACACTTTCAAAAGCCTTCAGTAACACAGATGTGCAGGCAATAGGACGGTACGTTGACGATCCTTTCTTTGGGATTGGTCTGATCTGGGCTGAACTCCAACAATCGGGGATTGTTCCAGATGATAAACAAGTACTGAACAATTCGACAATGGGTGTCGCAAGCTGGTCGACGCAGGCTTTCAACAAATGAGGTGCTAATCCATCGGGACCATGACCTTTATTGGCCTTGAGTCTCCTCAAAACTTGGAGAACCTCGTCCGGAGAAACAGGGTTTATTGCATCATGAGTAGGAAAAGGAGGCGGGAGAGAGCTAGATGCAGGTACAGAAGCAAATTGACGGTTAAGTACCTCAATGTTGGGACAAGAACTGATGCGTGAGCCACAGAGTTTCCGCAAGGTAGTCCACATCTCACGAAAGTTTTTATTGCCCAAAACAGTCTCGACGTACATCCCGTTCAGGCGTTTTACTTCTGCTCTAATCAGAACAGAGAGCCCTTTGACACTGTTACGCCTGCCGACCATATATGCCGTCTCTTTAGTACGACGAAGTAGCTTAAGAAGGGGTGAGGAAAACCTATGGCTTCGAATATAAATAGTTACAACAGGGCAGCATTGGCCGTAGCAGAAATTAAGATAATCGGTAAGATGTTTGCAAGAAAAAGACAGTTGATTATGAAAGCACACAGAAAAGTCAGTAGAGAAACAAAGTCCCGCAGTCGGGACAGGTTCTTAGGAGAATAACTTCTTTTCCGTAGCGTACGAGAGGTAGTGGTTAGATTTACAATATATTTTGGGGTAGAAAATAATGATACAGTGGTCAGAAGTGCTAATGGGGACTCGTTTAAAAACGTGAAACACATAGGGACCATTTACATAAATGCCATTAAGAAAGGCATTGGTACGCGTTGGAAAATTGACAAGGTTCTCTAAGCCTAGTGGTTGGAAAGGAGGTATCAAAACGATTAAAGTCACCAGCGGTAATACACAAGGACTGATTGATACAACTGGTGAATTGTATTACTACAGTAGCAGAAAATCGTCTTAGGTCGGGGGCGAGTGTATCAGGGGCAATATAAATATTCACAAAGTAACTGAAGCGAATTCTGCTGAGAAAACGGGGCTTGCAGCAAACAAAAGTACAATTTCATGGGTCGACGGATTCGCACTGCTGATGAGACACAACCAGGTCGAAACAGCTGTCCAGTGCTTCCGCGGTTTTCAGTTCACGCTTCATTTTCTATATACACGACGAATTCCCATTTGAAAAGTACAATTAATTTTACTTATTGAGTAGGAAAAAACCAAACGAGTGTTCTTACACGAACTTTGATTTACGAAAGTGACCACTCCACCACCTGTTGCGAAGTTTCACAATCCGATAACTCCTGAAAATATCAAAACCGTTCAATCCGACCACATTATCCTCGACATCTGGGTGTAACCAGCTTTCCTGGAGTAAAATGACTCCCACATTTTGCATTGTTTCTGTTGTACCAGATTCTGGACGTCATCGATTTTTCCCAAAAGTGAGCGAATGTCACTCGAACAAATGGACAGAATGGTCATCCTGTTGATAGAATTTCGCCGGAGCGCAACCTGTCAGCCAGCGCGATGATTTTTATGGTGACCTTGACGTTTATTTATCAACCGTTTGTAACGATTCCTCACGGAATGAGAAAACGCTGAAATCCCAACGTCATTCGCGAAAACACAGAAAGATTTCATAAAGTAGGAGTTGCAGGTCATCATTGGACCTTGGAAATTGTTGAATTGATGTAAACGTGTATGGTCAATAGTATCCACTGCAAAAAACGCAAATAGTTGTCCAATTTCGAAAAGCAGGGCCGAAATTCAAAGACTCGCCTGCATCGACAGAGTGTCCACTCATATCGTGCAAGTAGATTTGTGGCGGACGAACGTTCGTGCCGAGGTCCTTGTTGAGCAAGAAACTCCATCAATAGATCAAGATAGTGTGCTTGGAATCTTTAATGCTTCGTATGTCATTGCAGTAAACAAGTGATCGAACTGGGTTTCCAGGATCTCTGTTACTTCTAGCGTAGTAGTTGAAACATATACAGACGATCTTCTTAAAAGCAGAGTAGTGATCAACTTACCGACTATCCTAGCCTTTAAAAGAGCCTTGGATACAAGATGGACTATGATTTTCTTAGACGCATTGGGATAAAAATTTATTGTGCAAAAAGTGGAAAGCTGTCACGGTAAGAACTTAAGTTTCTCTTTTTCTCTGTTTGCAGATAGAAAGGGAAACCGATCACTTACAGTGATAAACGTCTAGTGAACACCTTGCCGAGGAAATTCTAGACGCTCAATTGGTTGTCGCCACTATCAGTCCTGAGCAACTTGATCTGAATGTCTCCCACGAAGTTAGTTGAACATCTTTTGTAATTTTCCAACTACTACAATTACCTGCCCCGGTGAGCATCGTACGCAGAGGAAACCTATCTGGTGTCATGCGTAACATGCGAAATGAGTACTCGTACCCAATGAATAACTTCCAATGTATCTAAGATACCCCACATAGAAAAGGTAGAGTACGCACTGAAGTCAAACGCTATGCAAATATCACAATCAAAACTAAAACAGACACGAAATTCGCAGCTCCAAGTCGTCCTACCGAACGATTTGGTTTGGCTAAACCGAAATGAATGAAGAAAAAGGACAAAGACCGAAAGATACAAGTTCCGTTTGTGACACGTTCCATTGGTGAAAAGAACCCGATAAGAATTGCTTGGCTAGTCTGAATTTTCAATCCGACCACTTACCTCCTCTAGGAATTTGAACATTTTATCAATATCCTGCTTCCACTGCTCGTTCAGTTTGCTCGACGGCTGACGAACCCAGCGTTCACCAAATTGTTGACGTAAATTGTTGTCATTCTTCTCCTCATCCTCCAATGTAGTTTTTTGCTAAACAAAAAGATAGTCAAACAAAAAGATAAGTAGTATAGAAAACCGGAGAAAAACAATAAGAAAAGGGATGGAATACCACAATTGCCATAATCATTATCATCAAACGCTTAATGAGGCTTAATGTGTCGGCAATTTTATCAGAAGGCCCTAATGACTTGCACTAACAACCTATACTGGGGAAAGCCCTACTCACCCGTTTCGTAATGGGGATATTTTTATTAAATTCGAAAAGTCAATCTCCGCGACTATATAACCAGGCTGATAATCCCACAACAGGGAGCTCGTTTCAGGAAACAGGAGAAGCCTGATGTTAAATCATCCACGAAGAGGCTCGTGAACTAGTCCCAAGACTACTGCTGGCGAAGAAGCACTGATGGTGCTCGAACAACGATCACCATTTTCATACTGTACAGAAAAACTGGTTCGACACCCGTAATATACGCGAAACTACTGATGAACGAGCGGCCATCGCGGTGACCTAAGTTGAACATGATTAACCCATTCTAATTTGGTTCTTCAGGGTGGGGATGGGGCTAACCCGGTGAGAAACACGATTACGCTTACCTGCTGCAAAATTTCCTTGTTTCGTTCTGCTGAATCCGGTAAGGAGAACACGTGTTCGCGTAACTGGTTCGCACCTCCCGATTCACGAATTTTTGCGGCATTCTCGAGCAAACTTGCAGGTATCTCATTCGTGTTCGTTTGGATAGCGGCGGGCAAGTTCAACGAAAGCATTACGCTAATTGTGGGGACAAATGTGGGAACAAAAGGGCGCACAGATGAATACAGCAAATTTTGAACAGGAGACAAAGTGCTTGAGAGTGAAATAGGAATGGAACAGAGCAGATGCAAGAATCGCAATTCACAACGATTATTGCCAAACAGATTTTTGAAGCGATTCAACTACTTCACATCTGAAACGCTAGTGGGAGTACGGAATTTATCCATCATGATGGTGTAAACCGGGTTAAGTCCATCACTACGAGACTGCACCTTGACATGGTATAATGGCTTGCGTGCCTCCATGACCGGATAGCTACACAGGATGGCTTCTCACAGCCGTAGATCCAATCATGCCTGAAAGGTCAACGGGTAGACGCCCGACGAAGACCAGTCTCACAAGGCCAGCTGCTTGGGCACCTCCTGGCTTTCATCCTCTATCCACACCCGCCCCTGGAGAGGCCACTCCAGCAAATAAACACGGAGAGGGGCAGTTTACCGGTCAAAAACCCCCCGCTAGATGGACGTAGGAGCGGGGTACCTGGGGCTTCTTCTCGACGGTGGGAGAAGTCTTCGCACTTCATTGGACAGCTACCGCCCGCCCAAGCT